CCGGCGCAGGATACGATAAGGACGGTTTGTCTGACTGGTTTGATATAGGGTCTTGACTACCTCCGTGAGTGGCTCCACCTCCCCGCTGAGGTTGTCCCCGCCACCCACATCAAGCAGCAGCGTTCCCACGCTCCCCCTCGTGGCATGATGGGCGGTGAGGAGCGTGAGCGTCGTCCCCGTGCTCCTCGTGAGGGTGGCTACCGCCGCCGCGAGCAGGAGAACAAGGAGGGCGGTGCCCCCGGCGAGTTCGCTCCCAGCTTCCGTGGTGGATTCGGCCGTGGCCGTGGTGCTCCCTCCTCCTAAGGGGTGTCGCCTGCCGGTCTTCCAAGGGCTTAATGGGATTGTTGCCGGTGTGGCTTGAACGACTTTGAAAGAAGTCGGGAAGCTGTACCGTGCACGTCCTAAAAAAGTAATTATGCCAAGCTACTGTTTCACAGTTATGATATAGTTAGGATTAATGGCATGATTTCATGACTTCATTGTATTTTCTACTTCGTAAGATAAATGGCGGCTAAATCTGCTGCTATATACATGCGCTTGATATACCAAAAGGCAATGTCGAGATGTATGCAGAGGCGCAACTATCGACACCCGCTGTCAACGCAGCTCATTTCGAGAACCTCTTCCGATCATAACGGATCACTGCTTGCAAGATGACTGATGCACCTGTTGCGCAGTCATCTGCGGAGCAGAACTCCTCTGGGTGGTGGCTCAACCCATCTTTGCAGGGAACGAAGATCATGCTGGTCGGCACTCTCTTGGAGGTAAAGACACTATCGTGACCCGCCCCGCTCATGATTGTCCGCATGAGGGACTTGGGCTCCGCAGCATTGACGTCCGAAACGACCGCCTCCGCGGATTGCTGCACGCACTCGATGCAGTCAGGGTGGAACTTGACAGCGGGCGAATTGAAGTCAAGGGTCCACTCTACGCGGCAAGGCTTGCCAATACCCTTACCCTCTTCTGCAGCGATCGAATCGAACTCCTTTCTCAATTGGTCTTCTACAACCTGGACCAGTTCGCTTTCTGGGCCGCGAATGTCGAGAGTGAAGCTGACAGTGCCGGGAACTGTGTTCACACTGCCGGGCTTTGCCTCTACAATTCCAACGCTAGCCAGACAGCCGTGGGAGAAGGCAACCTCACGAGCACGTACCATCATACGAGCAAAGGCATATAGGGCATCTGCACGGTGTTCGAACGCGGTAGTACCCGTGTGGGTATCTCTGCCGAAGATCGTGAGGTGGAACCAGCGGTATGCCTGAACAGCAGTAACGACACCAACGTGCTGGCCTGCAGAGATAAGATGGGGGCCTTGCTCGATGTGTAGCTCGAAGTGTGCGGCCATGGGTGTTTGCTTGTATGAGCACGGGACACTTCCGAGATAGTTGATCTTCTCCAACGCAGACTTCATAGACTCAGGGGCAGAAGATGCGGTCGGGAGAGATGCGACTGTTGGGACTTCCTTAAGCCCATGTGCTCGTTCGAGAGGGATGCATTCTGCCCAAACGCCAGATGACACCATGCTAATGGGGAACCGGGCACCCTCTTCGCTGTGATAGTGTTAGCGATGCGAGTTGAAGCATAGTAATAGCGATCCGGGTCGTACTTTGTCCAGTTGACAACTCCAATTCCACCTTCCGTCTCCAATCCCATTTCGTCAATTACTTTCAGTGTTTCAATACCGGAGAGCACACCCAAAATTCCATCATATCGGCCACCTGTCGGCTGCGTATCCAGATGGCTGCCAATGAAAGTGGGTGGGACGTCAGTCCGTCGTCCAGGGCGAACAGCGAAGATGTTACCCATTTCATCCACCGTGACCTCGCATTTCAATGCTTTTGTTGTCTCAATGAACCAGTCCCGTACTTGCTTGTCCTCCTGCGACAGTGCGAGTCGCTGCATGCCAGTGTCTGTGTGTTCACTGGATTGCTGTTAGACCAACTCTCGATCCATGGCAAATCGCAGGCCATCGGGTATGTCAAGCAGCTCCTTTGCATAAACCCCAAAGACCGCTCGTAGTGATTCCAAAGGGTGTTACAGTAACACTTACTCTCCCCAGCGGATGCCGTATCCCCACTGACAGCTATGATGGAGGTCCTTCGCCAAACGTTCTTTATTGGCCCTGAGAGCCGAGACCTCAGCCTCGGTTAGCTCCGTTGACAGCATGGTGTGAGTCGTGGTAACTGAGAAAGCTCGACGTGAAGGTGTGAATACGGGTTTCGCGAAGGCTGATCTTGTCTGCTTGGATAGAATCCCAGTAAACCTGGCAGCAGATAATCTTTGGTAGAAGATGAAGGCCATCTTGAGCCAAGTGAGCGCCCAAAGGGGGCTATATCTTTTTCAATGGTCTTATTGTTGGAGACCCTTCCAGATAAGACGGCCCAATCGACAGTATGATAAGATAGCTGGGTGGGGTTGAGCTGGGGTCTCGGGCTTTCCACCGAATCAGATATCCGCAGATTTGGGTGACGATGGACCGTTTCCTCGTACTCCAACGGTCTTGGCCGCTTATATAGGAAGGTACAAGAGTAGCTCGGCAATGGGCGATTCTATTGATGGTGAGGGGTAGGAAGGGCCTCCAGGGTCATGGTTAGCCTGTCTGATAACCGATTGACAGGGCGTGGAGTAGTTGTAGTAGTGGTTTGACCAATGCGAGACGGACCAGCCATACGGACTGGAACCTTGCTGAATGACGGATTGACTCAGGGCGAAGTTTTTCTTCTTCCAGGCTTTATTGCCATGTTCATTGCACGGTATAAGTTTCCGAAGCGGCGAGTACCTGGTGGCTAAGAGGACGATTGCATCCACCCAACGATTCAAACAACCGAAATGTCCTGCTAGAGACACAGGGGGAAGGGCTCCCGCTTGCGGAAGACTCGATCAGTGCTTGAGCACAGTATACAGGATCAGAGTTTCAGTTGACAGTCATCAGTAGTGGCTTAATGTATGAAGACAACTGTTTCTGGGAGCCGGCAACCATGTGTTCGTTCCCCCTAGCTTTAGGGACTTGGTCGCTCAGTATAGCCAGTTACGCACACGCACCCTTGAAGGCAACGCAAACGCACCCCTTTCTCGAAAACTACCATAAAAGGGGGTAGAAAGTTGCAAGAAAAGAGGCACACAATCTACCTACATCATACAATAACGACCAAGAAAAAGAAAAACAATAAAATCGACAACTGTGTCGATGGGTGATTCCAAAGATTGATGAGAGGAGTCTTTTGGGCAAACCACGGCCATCTCTGGTAAAAGGCAAGAAATGGGTTCTGAGCTAGTTTGTCCCACTCCTCGCAGATTTTACCTTAAACTGCTTCTTATAGTACCCTCCGTCAGCCACCCGCCGCAAGTTCGAGACCTCGCCGGCACGAACCTTTTTTTCCTCAACCTATCTTTTCGTTCTTCTTCCGCCTTGCGATTGCTAACCCCGCATTCAGCCATTGCGACCTTCAATTCCCCTCAAGACATTACATTGATTGCCATCAACGTATATACTCAACCTCGTCACACAAGATGTCTTCCGCTGCCTGCATCTTCTGCAAGATCATCAAGGGTACGGTGCCTCCTACCTCTGCACACCTACAATTACTATATTCCTTTGTTCTCCAACTGCGCCCGCTGGTAGCAGTGATCCGATCCGGCTAACCCGACGTAAACAATAGGTGATATCCCTTCTTTCAAGCTCTTCGAGAGCGACAAGGTCTTTGCCTTCCTCGATATCCAGCCTCTTAGCCGTGGACATGCTGTAAGTGTGCTCCCCTTTTTTTTTCGCGAATGGCATATGCCCCTCCATCTGGAATATGACCCCCGCACGACAACTTCCTTGCTCCCTACATCGAGAGATGCAGTCGACAGTCCTTCAAAACCAACACTATATCCACAAATCCCACCCCAACACTTCAATACCAAACCCTCAATAAATCCCATAACCTCCACATACCTCCCCTCCCAAAGACGACCAAAATAAGAAACCAAACCAAGCTAACACCCAACCCTCCAAATCACAGCTCGTGATCCCCAAATACCACGGAGCCAAGCTCACCGACATCCCCGACGAAGATCTTCAGGAAATCCTGGTACGTAGACAGCACCGACATGCACACGTGTAAAATAAGCTCAGGGCTCGATTCGCATGCTTTAAGGGTCCCGCCTGATCGAGGACCCTGCGAGCACTCCCCCTCCCTCCCTTCTCCTCTTTCAGTCTTCCCCGCAGCTACCTACTACCTAGCTAGCTTGCCACACGAACAGATACTAACAAGAGCTCTCTCAAATCAAACAGCCCGTCGCAAAGAAGATCGCCAAGGTCACTGGCGCCGAGGACTTCAATATCCTTCAGAACAATGGTCGCATAGCGCACCAGGTTGTTGATCATGTAAGTTGATATTCTTCTATAGATATTGGAGGGGGAGATTAATACTAATGTTTTGTGTTTTTCCAGGTTCACTTCCACATGGTATGTCATCACACACTTTGAGAAAGGGCATCTGTGACTCCGTCATGGCTCAGGATGCCATTAACCACTTTTCACTTGCTAACAGGATGCTGGAACAGATCCCCAAGCCTAACGAGAAGGAAGGTCTCGGTGTCGGCTGGCCCGCTCAGGAAACCGATATGGATAAGCTGAAGGCTCTGTTCGAGGAGCTCAAGGCTAAGATGTAAATGTGTAAGTAGTACGGATATAGCAAGTGCTACGGCTGCGTCTATTTACATGCCATGTGCTATTATTATCAGTTCTGCTTTCACAATTGGAATATCTGTAGGGTACACACTGTAAGCTATGATACAGAAGATGATAGCCAACTTCTGTGGGAATGCATCTATCAAGAAAAATCCATTGCTCCATTTGAAACCACCAACAAAAACCGCAATCCAAGTATACATGCTCCATGACAGACAGGTAGAAGCTGCATGTACATGCTCTCACGATGTGAGCGTTATTATGACAAGTAGTCCTCTATCAACACACTCTAACAGTCTATCCTCATACCAAGGCTCGGAGCGTATTACTCGGCCTTCCCGTCGTTAAGTGCGTTTCCCTCAACCTTGCTCTTCGTGGGATAGAACTCGATCTTACCCTCACCTTGGATGACATCTAGTCTATCGTACAAGGAGGTGGCCCGAACGTATGGGTCAAGCTGCCAGTATTGGATTCTTAAGCGCTCGATCAGGTCCTTTCTCTTGTCTACCGCCGCCTTGACGGCGCTCTCATCCTTCTTCATCGTCGAAGAGATCCACTCGATGGTGGCGCCTTGAAGCTCCTGCGCCAGCTGCTGTCTCTCGGCCACCATTTCGTCCCGCTTGGCTGTGTCCTCCTGAAGCTTGTTCTCGTCGGGTTGAGGCTCGACATACTTGTAGGCCCAGTTTTCGTCACCTTCAAGCTCTTTCATGATGCGATCTTTGGGAATGAACTTCTCCAAGTCCTGGACATTCTTGGTGAACTGGATCTTAGAGGCGACCACAGGGTCGAGCCAGCCCTTAATGATATTCCAGATACCTGCAATCGAGGTTAGGGGCGCCCTGAGTTAACTGAAGAACTAACCTGAGAAGATCCAAGGAGCCTTGTGAATCAGAACAACTCCCAGACACTCCGGGTAGTTGGCTTCGAAGCACTTGATCATATACTTCACCGGGTGATAGTCCTATAACATCTCAGAGATGGAATCTGTTGGCAGTTGACAGGGTGCCTACCATGTTTGCTAGGGAGAAATCGGTCATATCGAAGACAACACACTATTACCTGTCAGTGCATGCTACTCTTACCGTGAGATTGTATACTCACAGCTGTTTCGACTGGAGGTGCAAGCATCATGCGAGCGGTCTCAATTGTGTACACAGTGAACCGGTCCAAAGCTTCTGTCTCCTGGTCGGCGGCCTTGTGCAAGCGCACTCTGACGACGCAGATCGGCCGGCCAAGCTTGTCCACACCATGGAGGAAACTCTTGCCCATGCGCATCTGCAACAGGAAGTCTTCACCGGCCTTCTTCTCAGCGGGATCCGAACTCTGGGATTTCTTCAGAGCACTTTGCTCGCCATTCTGCATGATGTCCTCATCCAACTTCACATCCAGCAGTCTCCAGCGAAGCGTAGAGATCAACATGACCAGAGCCTTCTTGACGTCCCACTTTCGCGCGCGCAGGAAGCGCAAGAGCAGAGAATCGGGGTTGTCATGCTTGACCATATTCCAAAGAGTCACCCGGATCTCCTCAGGCTTCATATCCACAAGCGCCTGCTGGAACTCCTTCGATTGGCCATACTTGTCATCTCCATCGGCGATGCTGATAGAAGCGAGACTCGAAGCGATCCCGTTGGTCCCCTTGTCGCTAGCGCTATCTTCCTCTTCATCCGTGTTGCTCCGCCCGAAAAGACCGAACCTACTCCGTTTGGGCTGTTTCTTCTTATCTTGGGGTTGGCTTACTGCAGCAGCGTCGCCGTTCTGCTGCTGAATCTGTTCAATAGCATCCAAATTGACACCGCAGACCTTCAACAGCAGGACCCAAAGCTCTTGCAGCTTGGCTTCCTGCTCTGGTGTGAGATTCCCCACAGTCCCGGGTGGTAGATCCATAGGCATTGTCTTTAGGGTTTCGATGACGCCGAGAAAGGGTACTTGCGATTCTTGCAAAGGTTCGAGTGAGTCGGAGATCGTAGGAATATCACCTCCCGACTTGCGGTATTTATCCTGCAGCCAGGCTCCTGCTCCGATAAGAAGTAGGGTGAATGTGACTGACCAGAACGACGCAGCTTCCCTCGGTTTGTAAGGTTGAGACAACGGCGAAGTGGAGAAGGGTCGTCTGAAGGATCGAGACCAAATCAGAGGACTTTGATTAGAGCACCGCGGTGGGAAGATCTGTGCACGTCCTGAATGCAGGAGTCTGCCCGACGCGAATTTGATGGAATTGGCCGAGGATGGAGGTAGACGGCGGCGCAGGGAGGAACAAGCATGCATGTGCTTATTCGTGAGGGCCAGAAGGCGATTGGAGAAGGACGAGTCAAATCCCAAAAGCAGAGATGCCGGCTGTCTTTTCCTGGTGTCCTCGTGAGTAAAATGAGAGACGAAGATCCGAGCCTAAATTTCCAGCCGGAAATAATGCGGGGAAGGAAGGCGAGAGGGAAGGAGGCGAAGAGAAGGCGGACAGCGCAGTTCGCTTGAAACCTTCACAGACAAGGTTCAGCTGCAGGAGACTAAGGGGAACTCACAGCGGTTGGATGCGGCAATAATGGGGAGAGGAAGATGAAGCAAGCGAACAGGATGGATTGCCAAGTCTCTTATTTTTGCCCGTCCGCAATCCAATGATGATAATCACACCAGGGGTCCCCTCCGGACTAGACGGAAGAACTAAGTAGTCCTAATTATAGGCTGATTGGACCATTTTGGGTCACAGTGGCGCCCCCAGGCAGCAAATCTGCAGACACCTGAGGCATGGAAAAGGAGGGTCCAGTGACTCGGCCTTGCCTAAAGCGGGGATCAACATCAACAAACCCAATCTTTCGCAACTCCTCCATACACAACTTGAAACACAACTGCGTCAAGTCGCATATTTGTGACAGCTTTTCTTCTATACTGTGCTTATTCCTATTTTGTCTTATCAGTGTCTCTCAACGGGCTTGGTTGCAGCCTTCAATTTGGGTGCACAGTCTCAGAATCGTCATGGATGCTTTTGCCCGCTCATCGTCTCGCCCACGGCCCTCGTCGCGACCCACGACTCCCTTAAGACCCAATTCCCGGTCGTCGATCCGCGAAGCTCATGGCTATGGCAGCAGTATTGGTATGGCAGGCTACACCCAGCCTGCCATCAATGCCTTGGAACCCCAGTTTGCAGAGCTTGCAGACTCCATGGCCGACCTCGAGGCCAACTTCATGCACCTTCAGCTGATGCACGAAAGTTTAACTCGGTTCAGTGAGAGTTTTGCCAGTTTCCTCTATGGATTGAACATGAACGCGTTCTGTGTGGACTTCCCAGAGGTAATTGCGACTGAGAATAGTGGCTGTCTTCCCTCCTAAGCTGACGATCGGATACAGGCGCCCATTCCAGAGTCTTTCCGGAGAGCCAAGCAAGCAGAGGCACAGAATGGTATGGACACAGCTATGTAAAAGGAAGATCCAGTACTAATAGCACGGGTAGAAGCCGAAGCCGAACAGCTGAAAGCGACCACTGAAGCGGAGATGACATTCATGTGAGTCTTGATTACTCCCCGGGCTAGTTGTTGATTGCTTTCCTCATACTAACAACATGACGCACTTAGGACTACGGACACTTCCTTCATCGAACATCCTTCGAGCACCGTTCCCTCCAAGCCTTCGGCCAAAATCCCGGCCCCGTCGCGTGGCACCACCAGAGGATCCACGCGTGGTTCGACAAGCAGTCGTTATGCGACACGGGGCGCCAATCGCGGCGCCCGTCCAAGCGCATTGCCCCGTGGACGAGGATTGCGGTGAAGGCAGGAACCCGGATGGTAGAAATTTTCAACAGGGCGCAGACGGTTGAGCATGGAGAGGCACAAAGACTTGCGCGAAGGGAACGGTCTGCTATTGGCAATCCGTAGAGAATCCCTGCAGTTCGCAACGCGCCCCCAAACCTTGAGAGGAACCCCGTTCCTGAAAGAACCTACGGCGACGATAGCGTTCCGTAACACGAAGCCTGCCGAGCGGCCTGTCCGATCTCAGCGGCTCGGATCTTTCTGAGGGAAGTTCTTGCTAGCCCAGGGTGTAGAGTTAGGGTCGGCTGGAAATCTCCAGTCTAGTCCTACAATTATTTCAGGGCCCGGAGAAAATCCGGTCACGTATAATAGCATTACGCATAATGATGAATGCAAAATATTCCAAGTGTTGAAAGTGGGTGTCCTTGCGGCTCGAATAAGCGTTGTAGGACCATCGCCCGTCCCCAGAATGACCCACCCCGGGGTCAATGGGGAAAGACATCATCAAAAATCAGATGCCCCATCTTGATATCTGTAGGCGCACGGCCATAGTTTGCCAGTGTATATCATGTCGGGTGATTTTTCGAGGGACATAATGAATGCAAAAAAAAAAAATAAAAATAAAAATAAAAAAAATACCCGGGAAAGCACACCCAGTAAGGAAGCCAAAGACGCCAAAGCAACGATCTCGGATCAAATGCAGTCCCGGTTTCTTATCGCCCCGGAGCCGCGGTCGACCCTGGCGAAAAAAAGATCTGTCTTGCATCCAGCGCCCACCGTGCCTGTCTTCACGGGACGATCTCTGTCCGTATGTATAATTGACCTACCTGTGTATTGTATCATTTTTCGTCACTGTCCGTCTATTTCATTGGGGCTGTCCTTGCACGGTTCTGAACAAGAAGACAGCGAGGGACCGAGTGACTCGAGGGGAAGTCCGATCCCGATTTGAACTGCGGAACACCCGGTGGCTGCGGAGAAACACTCGAGTGACTGCTGCCCGCTCTCGACATTCCACTGCTTCGGTGGCTTTGCTATTGGCACGTCTTGTGAAGGTGCATTTCTCTCTCTTCATCCCCATTGGAGGACCTGACGTCCCCTAGCATACAGAGCTGATATGATTCATGCCTGCAGAGTCCTCCAGGGTAGTCCGTCCGATCCATGGATTCCTACTTGATCTGCAGTTGACCTGCTGAATATCCTTATCATCTCCCTCTCTCTACATTGAGAGACTAACTGTACTACTCTTAACACACTCCTTCACCCATCTCGACTGGGAGCCTCACTCTAGGCTGAGCCAGGATAGGCTTCACGTGCGAGCTGTGACACTTGTTTCACTACGTTCATTTTAAGTACCCCCACACAATGGCTAGCGTACTCTCGATATCATTACTTTCTGAGGCCGAATATGGCTGCGGTATGTGAAACTCAAGCGCAGAGCTGTTTCCCGGACCTTTTTGGCCCCTTTACTGACCTGGTAACAGAGCATCTGGCCACGCAAATGGGGCAGGATGTGAGCGCTGCAGAGCAGTTCAAGAACGCTTTTATCAAAGCGCATAATTCATTAGGCCATCTTCAGCGATCGATGGATTCATCAAAGCAGAATGGTCGTCTCAAATCCAAGGATTTTCTGAAACCCAAGTACACTTGCTTGACATGCGGTGAAACGATGCCGATGGGCGGCCGGAAAGCCCATACCGAGAAGACTAGCCATCAGTTTTGTAAGTAGTTCTTGCCTATTTCTATCAATGTTGACTAACAGTGTTCGAGACATGGATTCGCGAGCCCGCACAGTATATTGCCAGGCTTGTGGAGATTTCGTCTATGACCACGGCCTCGAACGACTTCGGTGCTCAACAACAGAAAGTGCTCTTCAAGGTTAGCATCTGACCTACTCTCGCGCTTGTTATAGCACTAACACGCCAAAGTCGCCAAGAAACGTCGCTTCAGCGATAGCTCTGCGGACGAACTTTATATCCGGAGCAATGCCAGCAAGCGTCCTTGCGCTAAGCAAGGTGTCAGGGGCTTGTTCAACCTGGGGCAAACCTGCTATCTCAATGTCATCCTCCAGACCCTTCTGCACGACCCAATACTTAACACTTATTTCCTTGGGAACGGTCATCAGCCCCACGACTGCACTGCTTCTGACTGCGTAGGATGTGCAGTTGCGGAGGCCTTCGCGGATTTTAACAGCAGCGACAAACCGGAAGGGTTCGCAGCTCTCAATCTTCTTCTAGCGTCATGGCGTGCAAGTTCTGTATGTTACCACGGACATTTATCTCTGACAAGTGGTGCTAATTGCCATCATTCAGACATTGGCAGGTTATCAACAACAAGACGCACACGAGTATTACCAATTTCTCGTCGACAAGCTTCACCTTAGTACCGAGAACCACCGGGAAGGTCATGAAAAGGGTTGTCCTTGCTTCTTTCACAAGACCTTCTACGGCAAGCTCCGAAGCAGCGTGACTTGCGACAAGTGTGGCAACGTCACACGAACGGATGATCCTATGGTGGATCTCAGTCTTGATGTCCAAGTGCAGGCGAAGAAACGCGCCATGGGTGGCACAGGAGTGTCGTCGACGCCTACCCTGAGCGGATGTCTGGAGAGCTACACGTCTCCGGAGAAACTAATGGCAGGCGTGTACAACTGCAGTCACTGCGGCGGAACACCACAGAAAGCCACCAAACAACTGCGCATTCGGAAACTACCCGCCATTCTGTGCATGCAGCTAAAGGTATGTTCCTGCGCAAATTTCCTAGGACGAGACACAGACTTACCCAATACAGCGCTTTGAACACACCTTTTCCGTCTCGGAGAAGCTAGAAGGCAAAATCGACTTTCCACTATCGATCAACATGCTCCCTTATACAACCTGCCCGCAGGCCAAAGTTGACAGGTCCAGATTCGTATATGACCTCTCATCTGCCGTAGTCCATCAAGGCAAACTCGATGCGGGGCATTACTACGTTTACTGTCGCCAAGGCGATGATGTGAGTTCTTGATCTCCCTCAATCGGAGTACTCCTAAACAGCCGTTCCTAACCCGAACTTCTCAGTGGGTACTCTTCAACGACGACAAAGTCACCGCCGTCACCGAGGCAGAAGTCCTCAACGCCGACGCGTATCTCCTATTCTACAATCTTCGATCACTGGCTTCTGCGCCGCAATAGAAGCTAGCTACTTATCGTGTACCATCACACCACATCATCACATCACATTGTACTCTGGCGGCTGCCTCATCTTCTCGCATTCGGTTTCTCTTCAGCGACTCGGGAGTCCACGGCTAGGAGTTGTATTATTATTGTTTGATTGGTTGGTTGCATGTATGCTCGTGTGGGAGAGTTGTGGTTGGCATCTTCGATCACGTATGCAAGACTGATGCTTGTCGTGTTGTGTTGCGTTTCTTTTCTTTGCTTGCTTTATACGCTCATTCGCTTAGATATAGCGGGTATGTCTGCGGCGTGCATATGCGTCAAGACTGCCAGGTATAGTAGAAGGTTAAGGTTGCAGAAGTGGGTATACATAGCTGAGTGCCTCGCTAGATATGAATGGCGAATACAAGACTGTATGGGTGTTTCAAATACTCGATCTTGATTAAAGTATATCAAATCTGGCGCTGACCTGGACACTAGATACTAGACACTAGATAGACATAGGATGCTTCCATGTGACTCATGATATACTTCCAGTCATCTACACTACGCAGGTCCTACAGGAACTATCTACCAGAGGACAGTCCTATGACTGGACCTAAACCCAACTGACTACATCCTTCAATAAACCGGAAACATCGACTGGAGCAGAGCCGCACGATCCAAAAAGAAGGACGCGCATAACCAGCCAATACGAATGATACGATCCCCAGCAGCACCCCCACCTCTCACAGGACAAGCCGGGGGAAGAATGGGTGATTATCAATAGATCCTCAATTCAATAGGAAATACCGTCCACACCAGCCAACAACAACCTAAACCCACCCCCTCTAGTCTCTAACCCTCAAATCCCATCTCTTCCTCAATCACACCTAAAAAAAGATTAAAGGAAATTCCACCATGAACAAATAAGAAAAACACCATTTTATTTCATTCCATTGAAAATCAAGCCCGGGTTTCGGATTTCATTTGCGTTTTCGATTTCACAGACACACACGCACACACTGTGGTAAAAGAATATAAGAGGCTACCGTTATCCCCCCCTGTATTTCTTCTTCCTCCGCTAATCCCCCGACATGGGAATTGTGGGGGATCGTTGGTTTGTTTGATGATTGGGTGGTGTATGTGAAAGAGAGAATCGAAAGCGCCACGAGCACGTTTTTAACGAATCATCGTCGTAACGGAAAATTTGGGATCGATGATGATGATGGGGGGAGAAGATTCGATTTAACGGTACTGTTTGGGTGAAATGGGGTGTTAGTTAGGTTTCTCTGGGTTTGAGTTGTGTGGGCGTGATTGTGGTTTTGGCTGTCGATGTCGTAGTGGCATTTCATTTCATTTCATTTCATTTCATTCCGTTCCTGGCACCCATTCTTTTTCGTTGTCGCAAGTCCCATCTCCTTCTTTTTCGGTATCCTCCTCGCCATGCCAATGCCATTTCGGATATAATGTGATTGTGGTACTGGTGCTGGAATATGTATATGGGTGATGGTAAAACCAACCTTGTGGAAACCGATGTCAGAGGACTTCTCACGGAAGCACTGACGGCAGATGTTCATCTGTACACAAGCCAGTTAGCCATTATTCCAGCACCCCAATATTTCGCATCGCGTAGATTTCAGTGAATATCCATACCCCGTACTTGCGGATCAGACCGGCGCGGTGGGAGCAGACACGGCTGTATTATTCCAACACAACGAATCAGCACATAAATTCCTTCCATATTTTCGTATATGTCCTCCATTCGATTCATTTCTTCTTTCCTCTCCGAAACTCCCCCAATCCCACACTATCTCCTCAGGAAAAATCGCATAATACGCACCAAGAACGGGAACCCTTGCCGAACCTATCCATCACAGATCAATTAGCAACCACATCTATACCAAATTTCATCGGCACGGATTTCAACTTACTTGCGGGGCCGGCTGTACCAAACGGACTCGTGAGTCATCTTGAATCTGAGGCGAGAGAAACCTGGGGATGAGACGGTGTTTGGCAGGCGGTTTGTCGTCGCTGGGCGTTGAAGGGGGACGGGGATTCAACGAAAAGGTTAGGGTCGAAATTCCGTTTGTGTGTCTTTCCGGTTTCCGTGATGCGGGCTCGGACCATCTCGCTTGATGGGGGCGCTAAGCCTTGTTGGGATGGGGGATGATTGGGTGCTAGTCATGTGATATGGGTTTGGGGCTATTTTCAACTTTACTACTCCAGATGTCGGGTTCGGGGGGAGGGGTTG